TATCCATGCTAGTTGAATGTCTACTAGGAACATGTTTAAAATGATTGTAGAGAAGTCTCAGTTTTGATTTCTGGGTCAAGTCGAGCTTTCTCAAAAGAAGCAGAAGAGGATCGATAGGAATTATGCATGCAGTGATTCTGAGCGAGGTCCAGTGACCTCCTGTGAGCCGAAGCGGATGTTATCAAATCGAAGGTAGAACTGGACCAAGTTCCGAACTTATTGGGCCTTTTCTTGTTTTTTTGCGAACCATATCGTATCTGCGGTACAATCTTGTCGAGACTGGTGAAACTGTATAATTTTGTTTTCCTTTGCAAAGAGCATGAACGAAAGAACCTGCACTGATGGAAAATTTGACTATTCAAGAATTGTCATACGCATTCGAAATCAGTCGAATCGAATAGATTTTCGACATTTGTTTCGGTCTCTGTAGTATAGCAAACTCGCTGATATTTAATTCAAGCAGCTAGTGTATTTTGTAGAAATGGGATTACACACACAATGAACATGTCCAGTCATGTCTCGATCAACTTCGCTATGCTCTGTATGCTCGGTTCGACATTTCACATGAAATTTGTGACAAAATCCAATTTTGATCGTAAATGGTCAAAATACGGTCGATAGTAGACTAAAACGTTTGCAGCAATAACAGGGGAATGAACAAATTCGAGTGACACTTTATTGAAATTCATCGTTGTACAGTAACGAATGGGTTGTCAAAGAAAAGGCGGTGGTTCTATAGAATAGACGCAGGTTTATGTGATGATATATGACGCATTTTAAATCATAAGAAAAAGCTTTTAACAGCAACGTTTATAATTAAAAGAAAATTTTTTATTTACTTTTTGACTTCTGACGGCATTTTGACAATTTTATTATCATTATCAAGTAACCTGGTAAAGTGTTTACAAAAAATTAGTACAAAAAACTACATGATTTTGAATAAGTTGAAAAGATAAAGGAGAGAGCAAATTAGCAATGATGGGATAAGAGGGACCAGAAGATTAAATAAATGAACATAAGAGTAATTTGAAAGTGACAAAATTAAAAAATAGTCAATATGAGAGTACAATGAAAGGAAAATGACAAAAAATTCGAGATACGACCTGAGCATAGAAACTAAACGTTTTACAGAATGAGAAGATATATGAGTGTTAATATTTATGTATACGTATTATATATATGAAGAAATGAGTCGAATTATTGTCCTCTATTGACTTTTCGTCTATTTGTACTACGTTCTGGGAAAATTATTAAAGATACAGATCTAGTTGTTGCGATAAGGCTAGGTGTTTTTCAGCAATGGCTGGAGACTCTTTGACAAATAATCTGTACGGACATTTATCTCTGCCTAATTTTGACCAATTATGCCAATCTATTTTATGTTTAGCTAGTGCAATATGACGTTGTATAGCTGATATTGCTATTTGAGACCTAGCACCCATCTGTTCTTCATTACTACTTTCGGATTCGACATAAGAAATCTGAAGCTTTTTATTTGCTTCTATTCTAGCTGAACGTCTCAGAGCTGGCTTTTCTTCGGCTAATGGTACAGTTGAAGATGTATCACGCTCTTTCAGACATCGGCATGCCTATCTCACTGTCTTTCCTATGTATGTAGCTGAACAATCAGTGCAACTGACTTCATAGATTATATCTGATTGAAGATCTTTTGATGTGTAATCTTTATTCTTAAAGAATTGTCGTACGGCCTGTGATAGTCTCGGAATAGCTATCACTCGTGTATTAGGTTTTACTTTCCTAGCAAGTTTAGTGATTTCTCTAGCGGATTGTTGTGTAGCTTTTCCCATGAATGGACCATTAATCATTATTCTATCACAACTTGTGGCTATCTTAGAGGCATCTACTTTACTAGGTTTGTTATCATTATTATTATTTATCGTTTTGTTTTGTTTTTCCATGTATCTATTTAGTGTATGTCTTATTTGATACCCGATAAAATTTAATGGATAGCTATTTCTTGTGCAATATCTCTTATAAAATCAAATTCTTTATGCATTAATGTGTATGATGAAGAGATCCGAATAGATCGACATACCATGGAACTTATTGCGGAGATCTTATAACTTTTAGGAACAAAAAGCGACCATTTTGTAAACAATCCTGTATATGTTAGTTTTTAATATACGGATGTTTCGAAATTGTTAGTATTACGGCGTACGAGTAGGTTAAGCAACGGAAGTTCACTGTTTTCTTCATTAATTGATATGAATTGCGTGTCAGGATGAAAGCTGTTAATAACCTTTTTTTAATATGATCAATGTTTGTCTTTTTATCAACAAGCACAAATGTATCAGCAACGTATCGTTTATACCAATGCACTTCTGCATTCTTAAGTGTTTTTATTGGCTTCTTTTCGAAATGTATCATGAAAATAGGGTGTGGACCTGTGATTGTTCTTCTTGTAATCCACACTCACCCTATCGACCACCGTTCGATGAATGCCTCACAAATAAACCTGACGAAGCTCGAATATTCAATAAAATCTACAACATCGTCATTATCCGTCGACTTCGACTAAGTCTTCATCGGCCCTGCAACTACCAGCAGCATGTACCGGCTTGTCTTTATTTGTTAACGCGTTGCACACTGGCATTAGGGTGTGGGGTGCGGGTGTGGGTGTAGGTGTGGGTGTGTGGGGTGTGGATGTGGATGTGGGTGTGTGCGGTGTGGATATGGGTGTGAGTGTGAGTGAGCCTTCTCTTCGCACTCAGTCACACCCACATTCACACCTACACTCACCCACACCCACACCCACACTCACACAACCACACCCACACCCACACCCTAGTTCGTACATGTTAACATAAATACGAACAAAACAGATAAAAAGGAAAAGCCGCTTAGCTCACACTCTACCTTATCGAAAAATAAATTTAGCTTTTTTTTTTCTGATACACATCTCGTGCTTTGAACTTTTTTTGTTATTCGAAGATGGATATGCCATAAGATGCAACGCATTCAGTACTTTCTTGCTACATATAATATGGTTAAAAATAAAGGAATTGTGGTTATAAATACATAAAAAAAAGCGGAGAGGAAAAATTCAGTTGACCCTCATAATATTAGCAGGAGAATATAATTAATATCTTTTAAGCCTCCTTTAAGGGGCTCACATCCACGCTTATAGCAATTTCAAAATTTTCTGGAAGAGGCTTACAACGACAAATTGGAAGAGTAGCTTTACCATCAGACTTGGTAATGATGTTCATTGACTACTCCATATCTCCAGAATGTAACTATTTCACATGCAATACATGGTTATATGAGACAGAGAACAAGAAAGAAATATGATCACTGATTAAGAGAGTGATATCATTATCGACACAAGATTCAAACGTTTGGAGGGAAAGCTAAATCATCTCTAGCTCCAGCTCGTTACACGATTAAAATTCTCCATAAAACAACAAAATATTGTTTGAAGGGCAATATCAACATTTTATTATTGGATATAAGCATTTTATAGTTTATAACATCAAAGACAAATAAACAAAAAATTAAAGCCAGAAACGAAATCTTAATATTCCAACATCGCTTCTACTATGAGGAAAGCGAGCTTGAAACACTGACCGATAAGATGCAACTTTTTCATAATGAATTTCGCCATTAATATCGAGAAACGTAAATTATTTTAATTTTTCGACTAAGGGTGTGGGTGTGAACAAGTCAACAGCAGCACAAAACTCATCGCACAGCCACAGCCACCTTCACACCCAAAAATGTTAGATACATCCACGTTAGGTATACCCACAAGCGATAAGTCACACTGAGAACATACGTACAATGTAAAAATATCATGTATGCTGCTTTATATCGTATTAGTAAACGAAAAGAATCTAGTGAATTAGAACAAGACTATAACTATATCTAGTAGCGATAACAAATGATCAATTACAACGAAAAAATGAGTTAGATGGAAAGAATTACGCTAATGTTCGACGAGTTCAAATTGCTGAACATTTTTCAAATCTTCATAAACGTACTGAATAAATTTTTATGAAAAAACAAAAAGAAGGAATATAGTGCGAATACGTAAGATTTGTAAGATAGTTTCTCCGTTCTCATTTTCGAATCTGTTTCCTTTAGAATATCATTGTGACTATCAATATTCTTTTCGTTTCAACTCGTGCGAAAAACCACAATTCCTCTTTTAAACCGTTGAAAATATGTGAAAACAAGTTTACATTCGTAACCTCCTTTGACATATGGATACTTTAGCTGTTAGCCTACGGATATTTATTAGAATGTGATTTTTTTAATTGAGATCATAAGAAATTTCTAGATTTATAACGAATATTTAGCGATGATACCGCCGAAGCCGATATTATAATTATCTAATTTAGCTCAAAATGAAACCTAAATTCTGATCAATAGATATTCAGGAATTTTTCAAATTTTACTAATCTACAGACTAGGGATCTTCGTTTCCGTGTGACTTTACCACAATCATTGTTCTCAGGAAATTTAAATTAAGTTATTGCTGAAACTTCACAATTCAGAACCCAATTGGAAATCAAATTCATACCCTGCTGCTATTAAGTTAAAAGCTCACTTTTGGCATAAACTATTGCGTTCTATGTGCCATAAGAAGTCAGATTAAGCGTCACTTGTATTATTCTTCTTTTCCAATATAATGAATCTAGCATATTTTTCTTTAGCTATCACTGTTGTGTCTAAACAATAGCAAGAAGTATTTAGTTCATCGTTTCCCTAAGTCTACTGAAGTCTCAAATTCACTTGTACGACTGATAAACGACAGTAATTGACTGATTTTCTGTTAAATCAGTTCAAATATGAAACCAAAGTTTTAAATGATTTCCAGATTTTTGATTTCTATAGAGAAGTAAAAGCTTTTTATTGACAATAATTTAGATATAAGGTGCAGCAAAAACTAAAGAATTTATCTAACTAAATATAGCTAATGTAGTGGCCATTCGATTAATGTATAATCAATTGATTTAATATCGACTTCATTAATTTCTTTATTCAGCTTCACTTTTGGTCGTATTCTCTTCCGTATGAGAAGAAGGCTGTGGATTAAGAAACATACTGATGTAGTCTTTATAACGTAGCGTAATATCATCGAGAATAATTCCATAATCGCTGAGTGCATAGGGGTTGCGACCTTGCTTACCTTGTGGATTATTGCGTAGCCAAGCAAGCATGGCTGTTTCAAACTCGTTGGACCACGCAAGACCAAAACGATTGTAAAGGCGGCGCACTGTCTCAATAGGTTGGGCAACTAAATCATCGTATTGTATGTCGAAATGCGAGGTATTCGGATATTCACGTCGAAATTTAACATGACAACCGATCATAGTATCGATCAAATCTACTGTTCGCTTGATAATATTCTGAATAACGATTGCTGTATTCACCTGCTTCTTATCGAAATAGAGATCAACGTATGCTATTACTAAACGACACGCTGATGCTAGCACATCTTCAAGTCGCCGGTGTGTTATGACTAACATCGCCGTATGATAATGTTGCAAAAGCTCGTTTATATATAGCATATGTATTGGTGCTTTCTAAAGCCAGTGCGAGTTGGGTGCATCAATACTGTTCAACATTTGAATGAAAGTCTTATGATAATCGTAAATAAAGCTCTTATTTATATCAGTGCTTGACCAATGCAGCAATTCATTATCGTCAGGAGGGGACAGTAGAACATGAGACCAGCTGTATCCAGCATGATGAAAAATATATTGATCTTCTTCAATGGCATATTGAGGGTGAGAAGCACGCATATTTTGTAAACAATCGCCCAAACCGAGATTGGCAAACATCTCACGAAATCCCTGTAGGGCATTATTACGCTGCACCTGCCCCATATTGTCCGAGCGAGCAAGTGGAGGAATCGGCTGCGCCATTTCTGAATACAATGGTGCTCGACAGTTCAGATCACAAGCCAACAGATTGTACAGAAGAGTCGTTCCAGAGCGCGGCAAGCCACATAGAACAAGCGGATGTGGCAATGCATTCATTGGACTTGTAATTTCTGGGTGAGAGGCAACGTAATTGAGTACAAGCTTTGCATTTATATGATTTTGTTCGAGTGCTGTACATGCGAGATGGCGTCCAACTGGTGATAGTTGTTTGTTTGACAGGACGTGTTCGGCGAAGAATCGAAATGTACGTAGAATCTCATGATGAAAATCAAACTGCTTCTTAGCTTCATCACTAAGATCATCTTCTGCGAAAGCGACGTTAATACGAAGAACCAAAGTATTCTCATTGAGTTTTGTATTTTCAAGTGAAATATTGGATTCTTGCATGCATGCCATGTCCGTGAAATTGGGTAATTTCTATAAAGAATAGGAGATTCGATTAATTATTCTTTTTAGATTTTAATGATTTTGTTTAGGTACAGGAAAATATAATATTCATTACAGAATTGCATGAAGTTAGTGACAGTTGCATGTTAGTGTAGACTGTTGTCATAATCACTATGAATGGTATGAGGTAATACATGAGAATTGTGTGCCTCATGGTCGATACATTGTTTAACAGAAGGAATATATTGTCGTGAACTCTTAATTCATGGTCCTATCTTAGACAGTTTTCTCGTCTCTTAATTGATAAAATGTAAGATGATCTTTATTCGAGTGTAATGCTAAGTTGCTGCATAAAAAATGATTCTACTGAAGAAAAACGCAAGCGACAAGTGAAAGAAATTCTTATCAATATGAAAGATAATGAGAGAGAGAACAGTGTCGAAAAAATTTGAAGGTTATGTACGTTGAGTAATTTCGTAAGTTAGAGGTCGAATTCTTGTATATATGGGGGTTACAAACTTGAAGGATACCCCATGGTCCATTTATTCATCTACGCATTAGAAAAATTTGATTTTTTTACCAGTTATGCTACATGTACAATGCTATTGATCTGTCACTATTTGAAATCTATATATCGCTAGAAATGAGAATTAATAAGTACATTTTTGGATTTATTGTACTACACGTGCTTCACATCGTATTTGTTTACATCTTGTGGTCAGTATATATTTTTGAGTCTATGGGCTTTTTTATTTCGAACTGAATTCTAAAATCAAAAAACCCACACCAATTTCTTCCGAATCAAAATTTTCTCGCTTGATACTACGTAGTCTCACTAAAAACCCTTAGTCCCCCCTAGTCCTGCAAAGTCCCCCTTAGTCCCCCCACAAAAAGCTTAGTCCCCCCTTAGTCCCCTGTGCAGGGGACTAAAGCCTATAGTACACAAAACCACAAGCACACCCTCACCCTCACTCGCGCGCCCACACCCACACCCTCAGTCATCCCCCCCCCTCACTCCTAGACTCACGTTTCAGTTTGAAATCAAGTATTATTTTTATTTGATAAATTCAGACTGAAATTAAATAGCCCATTGTATGATATTTTTATCCATTCTATTCTAGCGATATATAGATTTCAAATAGTGACAGATCAATAGCATTGTACATGTAGCATAACTGGTAAAAAAATCAGATTTTTCTAATGCGTAGATGAATAAATGGACCATGGGGTATCCTTCAAGTTTGTAACCCCCATATATATGGGTTTTCTGGCACCCTATCATTTCGTCCCATTACTTTTCGTCCCCTTACACTACGTCTCATTCATTTCGTCCCTCGCTCATTTTGCCCCTTTTCATTTCGTCCCAAATTCATTTTGTCCCAGTGTCATTTCGTCCTATACACTTCGTCCCAAACTCATTTTGTCCCGTTACACTTTGTCCCTACTTTTTTCATATGATTAGCTAACTTTAACGAAAGAGAAACAGAAAAGAAAAAAAAATTCACACTCAAATATTGTTCACCACGTAAAGCTGTTCTTCTTTACTATTTAATCGAGGGGCTACCGGGACTTATTGTTTTGGGATTTATTTCTTCTATAGGATTTATTAGGATTTATTTATTTAATAGAGATTTATTGGGATTTATTAGCTGCATCAGGATTTTCTTGCACCTTCACTCGACTGCTGCTCCCTTTGCCCTCACCCACAATTGCGTCAACATCCTCATCCTCACCATCGCCTTCGCCCTCACCCTCAAAATAGTGCGGGATTTATTTAAAAACGTATATAGATTTATTAAAAAATCCCCAAAAAAAATCCCGGTAACTGCTGATTTAATCAAGTGTTGCTATCTATACGACCGATGGGTGATATTGAAATTTTGAAGAGTAAAAGAGGAAATCCGATTGTATATCATGATAAGTTCGTGTACATGCAATACCGATTGACTGATGAAAAACGTTTTCGATGCGAAAGCTGTGACCCTCACCCGCAAGATCTGGCCCGTGTGGCTGCTAACGTGAAACTAAATTCTTGAACTGTTATTCATTCTTCATTTTATTTAATATATTAAACGTAGAAGATCATAGTACATGATATTGTATATTAAGTAGAATCGTCAGAAACGACTTGTCCGGTAGGACAAAGTGTAACGGGACAAAATGAGTTTGGGACGAAGTGTATGGGACGAAATGACACTGGGACAAAATGAATTTGGGACGAAATGAAAAGGGACAAAAAGAGCGAGAGACGAAATGAATGGGACGTAGTGTAAGGGGACGAAATGAGTGGCCACCGGTTTTCTCTTCTCTAAATCTCCAACTGGGCACTGCTCTCTCCTAAGAAACTTAATTCCTAGGAAAAAATTATATCTCATTCAAATTGAATGATTGTTGCTATGATCTATGCTGAAATATATTTTTGCAAAAGCTTTTACTGAATTCAAACTGAATTCTTTTTTTGTCGCTACACACCTAAAAATATTAGGTATCTATTATGTCAATTTAAAGTCAAAATTGGCAATAAAAAATAGTAATAATCAAGCTAAGTCTTAGAAAAATCCAGTTAAGGCGCACTGCACAAAAAGCAAAAGAAAGATGACGAGTTGTGTATATTCGATAAAATGCATTATGTGTTTGATATGACACTACATTCGAAAGATAAATTCAATGCAGGCAATAGAATCGAGCACGCACAATGATAAGAACGAAATTCAATAGCAAAGATAAGGAAAAGGTAAGTGTCGTCGAGTGACATCTGCCAATGTTCTCAGATTAAGAAAAAGCTAGTCAGTCTATACGTTCTTAGTCTTCAAGATTTCAAATTGTGTAACGGTGTTCGATCGAAGAAAAGACTCTTAGAATTTCTGGAAACTACAAAAAACAGCGAGAAGCAGTTTAAATCATAATCGTCATTCCGACCATAGTAATATTTTGGAGATCTTGATGTATAAGACGAAGAAAATGTATAGCTGTTGATTCACCTTCTATTTTCTGCCAGTTTTTCATTTTGAGAAAGTTTCTACTAGCCAAGTATTTTTCAAGCACATTTATTTTGTCTTTTCGTTGCAACATAATTTTTGCAATATTATCATCGTGACTAAAATCTTGCACATAAGAAGACCAAAATGCATTTATTAATGAACACGTAATTTGAAACGTCACATATATATGGCAAAGCAAGATCAAGAATAACTGTATTGAAATAACGATACTGTTTGTTTCTACCGTATTTATAATACCATTATTATTTGCTTCAACAGTGTAAAATATGAAAATGCAATGTGTTTAGTGATGTATACGAGTCGGAGTTTTAAATAATACACACTGTATTTTTTTCTTTGATTTGAACAGAAATGATAGCACATATACTCTAAATCTTCATGATCCAATATACTCTAAAACGTCACGAAAACGTCTATCTACGACTAATGTATCACCTATTTTCAACCAACTCAAAATTTGATAAGCAGGAAGCCAGTGATTAGTAATGTTCGTGTCATTGTTTCACCAATTGGCATAGTAAGGCCCGTAGGCTAAAACAACATAGCCATCTATGGTTACTATTATCATAGGCTTAATCAAAGGTCGATTCCTATGTAGACTAAAAAGTTTCTGTTGTAGCATATTGTTGTTACTCTTATGAACATAACGATATATGGCATCGAGAACAAGTATAGCAGCATCTTTTCCACTATTGAGAAGCTGTTGAGCTAATGGCCTGGTATGATATTTAATAACTACTTCATGACTGATATGATAGAATCCTAGATGTGAAGGTACAAAATTCTTGAGGAAGGGTGTGGCTGGGGCTGTGTGGATGTGCGATGAGTTTTGCGCTGCTGTTCACTTGTTCACACCCACACCTACACCCTCATTGAAACTGTTTTATTTTGCAATGACATGAAGCGCACAACATCGATAGAAAGATGTGAGTCTATCTTTGCCAAATACGTTTTAGTGATCGATTGAATTCTTTCTTGTACATCTCTGATGATATGAACGAAATAAAGTAACCAATGAGATGAAACCAAGAGTCTCGAGCTGATTTCATACATCCTGACAGAAATAATATTATTAGACAAGGAACTGCTAGTAGAACAAGAATAGATGGTGAAATCAACAAAGGTTTGTGATGCTGAAGTTGTTTGCGTAAATGCTCTTTGAACGATATTGTTTTTTGGGATTTTGAACGAATAAGAGCTGCTACGATAACGATGATTAGAGCCGAGATGCAATAAATCGTGAATGGAACAGAGAAATGAAAGATGTTCAAAACCCACTCAAAGATTTGAACAGATGATGAATATTGACTAACATACCATGAACGTTGCTCTTCTTCGTCGTCCATAAAATGATGATTTAGTGGATCACATATATACATGTACAGCTAGTGAAAAAAGGACAATCAAGATCATCTATGCAGCCACTTGTTTACTTTTTGATTTATCAAAATTGATTCCTTTTGAAGCATTAACTAGTCGCTCGACAACAACACAAGCACTAAGCCAATCACCAGTGCACAGAAAAACTCGAAGAAGAAAGTCGATGGATGTGCATTGTTTATACAAAAATGAACGATTACTTATTAAACCTATTGGCGATGTTAAAAGAAACGAGAACTTCATTGAAAATACCATCTTGATGATCACAGATATAAATGTCGATGCAAGAAGACAGAGATCACAGCAAACATGACGTGCCTCTTTTCCTTGAAAAGTTTGAAAAGAAAGGAAACTGTTTATGGATTCAAATGAAAGCATAATTATGGTAAGTGATATTGCATCTTTTACAACAGTGGGTTGTTGGCTAACTTCGATGTTCGAATGGATGTGATCGCCTAAAAATAGTATTCAATGAAAGTGCAGATTCTTTCGTAGAAAATTGACATCTTGATCCAAAATAACATTGGCGACAGACACACATTGATAACGTTGGATATTTTGGATTATCTTGAAAACAGTGACCTTTTTTTGACAAAAATTATTTCCTCCATAGTTATAGGTCATATTGTGATCAAATTCAAAGCCGTTGTCTTGTCGATATGGAATGTGATAATATTTGATGTGCTTTAGCAAAAGTTGATTAGCAGATGTCTCATTGAAAAGCTCATGAATAGATCGACATCAATGTGAGAGAATAATTTATGTAGAGAGACTTGATGAAACAATAGTTCGTTCTCGAAGAATAGTTAGATAGTATTGACTGAATACTAGTGCAAGAGCAGTATTGAATGAAGTCGAAGTGTAGACCACAAATGAATATGGATCGACCGCAATTTTTTTCAATGATGCTCGTTCCATCATGTTCTTTATCGTTTTGAACGACGATGAAATGAATTCATAACAATGATAGAATACTCAGTTGACGGTGAAACGATATATATATTTGAGTTAAATTCTCTCGATGCTCAGGACAAATACACATGGATTTTTCAACAAAAGATCTGGATATTTATCTCATCTCTATAGATACATATTGTCCAGCGTTCATGAATGACTCAAAATAAACTCATTGTATTTATGTCACATCTCAGTGCTTAAAAACCTTAATTTCACCTTATATATCATGTAAATGCATAATAAAATAAAATAATATGATTATTGAAAATTCGATAGCTATCATCAGTTCAAAATCATAATTTAAACATAAGTGATAAAAAAAAATGCACATAATACAATACAGAAGAAAATACTGTATGTTGATTAGTGATTTAGTTCAAAAAATATATTGTGAAACGAGTTACCATACTATCTACTAAAGAAATTAAATAGAAGGATAAGCTATAAAAATATGAAAAATAAAGGACATATTATCGACGCTTAACAGTCATCTGAAGTGACACTCCTGGGCGAAGAATACCTTCAGTAGCTATATGTAGTTCGTCGATAGTTTGAGTTGAATGAAAAGAAAAATGACGAAATAATGTTGATAATACAACTCTTTCTTCAAGTCCAGCAAAACGTTGACCTGTTTTAGTAAAAGAAAATTATTTAATTATCGTTTGAAATAACAGTCAATTGAGAAAATTTTCACGTACCAACACAATTACGCGACCCAGCAGAGAATGGAATATATGCAAAAGATGAAATTTCAGCTGAAATAAGATTCTGATTAGAAAATCTTTCTGGATCGAATTTTTCTGGATTAGGAAAGACATTTTCATCATGATGTATACCATATATGAAAATGACGACATTGGTACCTTTGCGAATTGTTTGATCACCTAAAAGAAAATACAATTAAACCTGTGCCATGCATCACTTTATATGTAAGTATCTTCTCTTTCATCATACAGTTTATTATAATATTGTGACGAAACACAACATCTCTGAATTTATTAGCTTACAAATATTATAAATTTATCAGGTTTATACCTGTTACAACAGATACATAACATGATTTTATTGTAAAAATCTTCAGGTTAAAATAGTAGTATTAAAATACTTCTTAGTCTAGAAAACCACTTTTCTTGAAAACCAGCCTATAGAAACCGAAGGGAATTTCTTATGTTCATGTTCAGAATCATTATGGTCGATAACCAATAATTTAAAAGGTCTTAATTAGTAAGCGATCTATTAGTTGCAAACGTTTTCTCGTCATACACTATTTATTTTGTTTTCTTTTTGTTACACTAGAAAATATGGAACAATTAAATTATATAAGCTATAATTATTTATTTCATCCAAACTAATTATATATTGTTAATACATTTGGAATTTATTTTTCTCACTATGAATACATATGATTTTTCAAATAAATGAATCTTTGCAAAGATTTCTATACTTACGATAGACAAAATCTTCTTGTGCTTCTCGAGAGATATGTGCAACAGATGGAAGAAGGCGTAGCGATTCCTATTCAAGAAACAAGTATTTATTAATGTCCTAGTTTGATACGACTTATATCCGCATCCACATTGAAAAGGGTTGAGTGTAAGCTTAATAACTCGACAACGACAATAGCTAGCAATCTGTGGATTTCAACTATCGACACAAGAGTCTGTGGGACGTCTTTTTATCTGATACCATATAAGACAAAACTATTTAAAAAAATTCATTATCTTCGCAAACATCCACAAAACTATAAGAAAAACCTTTCCCACTTCAAGGAAATTTTGATAATATGTGTTGGAAAATTCCCAATGCGAAATCTCACTAACGATGAACAAACGACAGAAACATCCCTAGAACAACACGAAAGAAAGAAGAATAAAATGAAATAAAAAATTCCAACACATATAGAAGGAAAGGCAAAATCCATGGTGCATGACTAACAATAAGAGAAAAGAAGAAGATATGTGATATAGTATTAGACAAAAAAAATGTTTCAAAATCTCCTTCATCGATCATTGAAGCCTGCAGGTCGCTAGCTATTACTCTTGTCGAGTTATTGAGCTTACATCTACTTCTCTTTTTATATTGGTGTGAACATTAGTTTCACAATTATGATTGCTTACTTTGATTACACAATCAAGATAAGTCATTTGTTGTATATCTTCCATGGTACATGCTCTTTCTTTATCATCTTTAAACATATAATCAAACAATTTCAAAAATAAACTTGCTAAAGATAGCTACCACCAAATATCGTATCTATTTCAGCATGAATTTTTTCTTGAACATCTTGATGACATCCAACTAAATAGCAACAATAATTTATTGCAGTTGCAGTTGTATCATGACCTTCGAACATAAATGTATCTACTTCTTCTTGAATATCGTTGAATGAAAGTTGTTCATGATGCATTTGAGCAATAAGACTATCGAGAAATACAAGACGACGTCTTTGTTTCTTCTCTCCATTCTTATTTGCTGCATCATCATCATCAGAGTTCCATGTAACAAGACGTTCTTTAATCACCTTGATCGAACAACAAAATTTAATTAAAGTGATCCATGAAATTGAATAACATACCTTTCGAGAAAATCCATGAAGAACTTCGAGTAGCCTTTTTTGCTTCTTTCCTATTGGTAGTCGATCGAAGATGCATGTAGGCCAAAGCCATGGGCACCGTGCACGTGTAGCTACTATACTAGTGATTCTGAAAAAAAACAAACAAGCAACCTAATTTCAAAACCAATTCAACCTTAGTTTACCCAGTCGTTGCCTCTACAAACTCATTATTATTATTATTATTTAATTGAGCGTTTGGATTTGTACCCATTGCAGCTTCTGAAATCAGTCAAATATTCAACAAAATTATCATTTAACTACTTGAAAAAAAAAATTTCAACTTACCAGCAATAATATCAAGTGTACAAGCAGATATATATGGATATAGATCATGTGTTTTATTTTCTTGTTTTGGATATTCATCAAATCGACGAACAAGAATACATGCTTGTTCATTGAATATACTCATAAAATTATGCAATAATTCAGTATCATGAAATGATGGTGTGATTAAACGACGACGACTACGCCATTTATCATTGTTGCTATTTTAAAAATTAGATCATGTGAGAAAACTGAGAATATTTGATCAATTATTTATCACCTAGTGAGTAAACCAGTTTGAAGCCAAGGTTCAAGAAAAGTGTAATGAAAAGATTTGACAAGTTGTTTACTATTATTAATAAATGACTAAAAATATGATCAAGAAAGTATTTTCAAAATAGAAATAATTTGGTATACATACTTCAAGTCCTTGACCTGAACATAAAAATATCCTCGGTGTTATTCCAAGCCATATACAGAAAAGACCTTTGCCTTCGTCTTGAGATTGTTTTGCCAATCGACAAAGTAATTGGAAGAAAACGTGATGTTGTTTATCGAATTGAGGTATATTTCCAATAAGTGGAATCGGTGAAAGGGGAAGAAATGAAATGTTTTTATAGTCTTTTTGTAATCGTTTATGTCGCAGTAAGATAGGTACTATGTAATATATGATGAGAATCAATAAACAAAGAAAGGAAATGATGACGGTTAGAATTGCAAACATTTTAATAATGCTACTAAAATAAAAAAATATAGGCAATAGTATGAATAACTTTTGAAGCGAAAACTATTTATTACGTTGAATGACTTGCAAAGCAATGTTTCTTTTCATTTGACTACAGTCATTAATGACTTGACACAAGTTTTTCGTCACTCTTTCTCTTCTTCTTATACCTTGGGATTCAAAAATACAAGCATGTACATATTTGAAAGTATGCGTATGAAAAGACTTGCAATCAAGCGTAACCATGAATGATTATCGATACAATATTATATTACTTTAGTCTCATATTCGAGGTGAAATTTTAGTTTTTATCAGTTTTAATTTCTTTTTCATTTTTCTTTTTTTTCTGTCGTAAAAGATATTTATCACGTATTAAGGCTAGAGTCATATACAGTCTCCAGACCCACTACAATAACTTCTATCTTAAAAAAAAACGACAACTCTGAATTTGTTTTTTTAAATATCAATGTGATCTATTTCTTATATTTGTGTTATTGGAATATTGTTTTATTTACTGTAGTAATTCATTTTGTCAATATGAATTTCATTAATTGTTCTTATATTCATAGCTATAAAACCATTGGTCATCGATTTCCAAACTGAATGTCTATTAGTGATAGTATGGAGTATGACGACTATCAGGTGAGATAGCCAGAAAAACAAGCATACACATCCATACATGGATGTTGGTAGTTTATTAACGATGATCTTTTGTCGAAAGAACAGATGAATCATATTACGAATGCAAAGAATTATCGGGAAGTAGACAAAAATGAAACTGTTCATATAAATATAGAAGCAAACGATAACACTGAATAACTTTCATTAGACACAAATATTGGCAACAACATTTCTTGACTGGATGATCGATCAGTTGATCACAGTTAGGGTCTAAATGAAAAAGTAGTTATGATAATTTTCTTCATTGCAGGAACTCTATGAACGTATATATATCGATATTTTGCTGAAAAATCCTTTCGATTGATCGTTCAATTATTTATAAAAGTCATTATCTCTAATCAACTGTGTCCACGGCTGTCTTTTTTAAAAGCAAAGGCAGAGACAATTAAATTTTATAACTGCTTTCGTTTAATAATAATCTCGGAACTTGAAAGATACGCGAAGATTCCAAAAACAATTTCTTTTTTGAGTGACTTTCCATAAGAAAATGGAATGTCATATTAAAGAGAAGAAAATGAATTCTATTGATTTACTCGTGAGATTCTATTTTCGTATTTAAACGAGCATAGTCTGGTTTTCACTTCTTGAGATTACCGCGATAGAGAATAACAGTTTTTGATGTCTACATCGATAAAGAACCTATGCAGTCAGAAACATGAAATTGGCACGTTAAACCAGTTCTTTTTTCCTTCTTTCCAACACGTTTTACACAGTCAAAAATAATCGGGAAAGTCACGTTTTCACACGTTTTTACTCAAAACATGTTATGATTCGTAATTTCAGACACTTTTGACTGTGTACAATAATTCAAACTAGGAAAGAATAGATATAATCCATATACCTTAATATTACAAGAAATATTAAAATACAGTATTCACTAATAAATAAGAAATACCAGGTAACGTCGATTCAAAGAAAGTTGGATGTTAAAGAGTATATAACAGTAGTGTAGTTTCGTTTCTTTTCAGAGAAAAGGTTCGTGATCATGTAAGTGTAAATAATCGAGTGATAGCTTTCTGGCAAATTTTCTTTTGTGTCATTGTATCTTCCATATAATAAAAATAAGTTATATTCTTAGGTCTAATGTCTTTTTATAGCGAATTTTTTATGTAGATTTAACAGTTTCATATTAAAGTTTGTTATAAATATTATTTTTTTTCTTCGAATAATTTGAATTAAATTTTAATCGGCAGATACTTTTATTGTTAAAATGATATATAATTATTTCGACAAGAATAGAAATCTAACTAAGAAAGAAAACATATGAACCTACAGTGATTTTGTAATCAAAACAGTATTTTGCATTTTGAAAAATAAATTTAGGCAATGAATCGAAGAAATAGAAAAGCGGATCCCTGCATGTATTATAGAATATTTCATTAAGACTCTTGTTTATAAACTTATATGCTTGGAAATAAATTGAATGATATGTATCGATTGAATAAGGAACGATACGAATCACTGATACTGAATAGTTATGAGTGCTGCTCTTTGTCTTGTAATAACAACGAAATAAAGAAGTTTGATGCTAATGGTTAGCGCTATCACTAACAGGATAGGAGAAATAGATAGCTTTGTGAAAAGCATTCGTTTTATCCAAGTTAATACACGTTGTTACCAGAAAAACAATAACAGTAAACGAGTTTAAACGATATATCTTTAGTTGATCCTAATTGATGTATAAAAATGCATTAAAAGCAGTTTATACAACAATAAACCCATGTTAAAGGGTTCAAGTTTTTGATCCGTCAAGTCAATAAGTTATGATGTGTAAAGAAACTTGTGAAGAACTGCACTTAATAGTTAGTGAGTGCAATATTTCATTGTTCATTGACTTTATTTTTCTGATAAACGTTGATTTCAATCAATTTTACAGGTCACTCAAAGAACGAGTGAGGCAGATAAAATGACCGAGTTGTACGCCTCAATTTTCAATCATTTAATACGTTGTATAAAAGAACAAAAAACAGCAGGAGATTCAGCACGAAAAGCTCTACAATTTACACAGAAATGGGTGTGGGTGTGTACTCAACAAAAGCACAATTCACATCCTCACCCACACCCTAATCAGTAATCTAGTGGCATTTGATTTCATTTTTATACCAATTTAATGTATAAGGTGTTGTATAAGTCAAGACTATATAGTTCTCTATATCATAGTCAGTACACTAATGATGTTATTGTTGCCTAAAATCCGTTTGAAACGTTTTTGTCATCAAACACTGTATCATCAAAGAAAAAAAAATGAGAGAGAAATATTTCTCTATGAAAATGTCTCTTTATTAGATACATCTAATGTGAATTAATTTGTCAAAACAATAATTTAATTGATCAAATGAATAAAAAATGTCAGATGCCTTGTTTATGACATGTTGAAATTTATTCACCATAAAAGAAATAAAAATATGTAAAACAACATATATTTACCTTTTTATATGAAATAAACATTATTATTTTTGAATTTTGCAGTCTTTTACTTAGTTATGTGTTTTGATGCTTCTGTATTCAAGAACTAGTTTATTGTGTAATGTCAACTAATAATGATTCATGATCTATTAGGTTTGTTATCCTTACTATTTCTGATCTTCTGCTCTAGCTCAGAAATCTGGTGTTGAAGTACAAGATGATATTCACTTATGTCTGGTCTTCGGAATCATACCAAGTTTTTTAGTCTCCTATTGCATAGATAGCCTCTGAGAAGATCTCAAATATGACTGTAATGGTTAAAAGTAATTTTTGACACTCGATTCGAATATGCCATTGGATTGATAAAAAAAGACCGACAAGAAGTCTAAAATTGCGACATGCAACCAAAAACACCCTGTTTGAGAGTGAGTGGATGAATGTAGATGTGAGTCTTCTCTTCATCGACATTGAAATTATTTGTTGAAGTAAGAAAGTGTTTTTCTGCAGAACAATCAATCATGTCCTGCTCTTCTCTTTTGAATAATACTTTTCTGAAAGTATTCTGCATTGTTCTATTTGTATGTTGCTATGAAGAGAAAAATAAGTAGTAGCTTTCAATTTAAAATGCACAGTCTCCTACCTTAAAAAAACAGAATCATAAAGTGTTTTGTTTCAACAGATTGATTGCACATGGTAAATGCTTCTGGAAATATTTGCAGCTATGCGAGGTTTGTTTGTAAATATACATCAGATGTTTGTATTACAACATAAAAATGTTTTTTCAGTTTTGTGGAACATGAACCATTGTTTTCAAACAATCATCTTTGTGTTCGTTATATTGCCAATATCTGTTCAATCGATTATTCTCATACCTCCACAAGATATTACAGTACCGCGTAACATTAAATGTTATTCAAGCGGCACTCCCATAATAAATAATGATTATCAACTATGTGTTTTTCGCGTATATACTGGTAGTGACATGTGGACTCCACCTATGGATTACACAATACGTGATGGTATTTGGTATACTAATACATTTCGACAATTCGTCAAACGTTGTCACGGACTTTCAGCAACATCTGATATTGGTGTTGGTACATGTCCTCCATTACCGTATGAAACTTTTCAAAATATGACTATCTGTATTTGTGCGCAAAATCTTTGCAATATTGATTTGGGTAGTTGCATACATTCAAACCGTAATACTTCTTCACTTCAACCATTGACAACTGTTCTAAAAGATCTGTCGAATCCTGTCACTTGTTCTGGTCTAGAAAATGTATTGCGATTACCCAAGTTATGTACGGAACATCCGTTAATTAATACTTCAAACTGTCTAAATTACATTAGGAGCAACAGTGTACTTTGCAGTATTATTATAAGAGACGGTGCGGTCATTCAAGAGGCGCTGGTTCCCGATAATTATCAACGATTTTTGATCGCACAATACCGTGAAGCACGTATCCACGGTAGCACTGGTAGCATTAATATCACGGAAACTTTTGTGTTCTTTGGAGGCATTACTCCCTTTCCCATAGATGAGTTTTGTGTCTGCAACACATTCGGTTATTGTAATGTAAACAGCAGATCATGTAAATCAATGACTCCTGAACCTACAACCACATCTACCACATCCACGTCCACAACGCGATCAACATCATCAGCATACATATCTACGACAACTACAGTAACAATATCATCAACATACATATCTTTGAACACTGCATCCAAAGAAATCTCTACTACGCAGTGTGTCAATACACAAAGTAGACTATTGTTACATGATATTTTCAAATAATTTGAGTATTGTTTCTATTCAATCTAGTCCAAGAACCAAGAAAAGACAAAATAGGTCTCGGATTCGCAGCTACATTTGGCATTATCTGTGGTATCATTGTCTTGGCTTTGATCATAATCGTTGGGATCATCAGATTTCAAGTGTGCTATTCTGATAATCGTGGTTTTTATCAACCTGTGCCTCATGATGCATAAATTATGGCATTTTGAGGAAGAACTTATTCGGACCTGAAAAAAACATTTGTTTTCTTCATTTTTATTTTAATATAAGATTTTCGCGAAACTAATTTCAACTATTAACGTATACTTCGCGATGACTTTTATTTTTCGTATGAAAATTATTGATGTGTTCTTTCTTTTTTAAATTCATATGTCACGTGACTTAGACTCAACAAAATGCAAGAAATGATTAAATAAAGATTTCTTGTCAAAAAGCATCCCTGTATTTACTCAGTATTGGAGAAAATATTGTTGCTGTTGTTATCATTTATTTTTCTTCTTGAATATCATAATCTTTCATAATAAATCAATATATTTTTTTTTCTATCTAAAATAAAACAAATCAAATGTGAAAAGACACGAAACTTGTTACACTTCCGTTCAATAGCAAAGAAAAACAGCTCATTGAAATCAAGATTCTTTCTCTTATACACTAGGTTTCTCATATTCAAGAAGAATCTTCTAGTACATTCAAGTATCTATTAATAGCCTTAGTATACAAAAACTAACCAATAACTACAAGTGATCAAGAATTTCTAAGTAAATATGCATTAATACGCTAGATTTAAGATAGATTTTAGTTAAAATACTCAATAAACTAGAGTATAGAAAAAGTAGCACAATCGGAATCTTTCAATTATTGATAGTTGTATCGATTGTTAATTAATTGATAATTTATTTAAATTGATATGACAGTGCAAGTAGGGATCCAAGCTTCTTTATTTTGTTTAATGATATTTCCATCAATTTGCTCTATTGATAGAATTGCTTTTTATAATTTGATTGCAATCAAATTGAAAATCATTTTAACCAAGCAAAGAATAAAGAAAAGTTTTGAAAAATCATAATTAAACAGTTCATATGTATAGAAATGTAACATTCTTGTTTTGGAAAGAGTTACAAATAAAACAAAATAGAATATTTTGGATAAATTTCACTTCTGTATGTCTTAAAGATTTCTCAGTTACATTGTTTTTATCAAAACATTGATATTCAACAACACCTGCTCAAGATTTTAAAGAAGTTTACTTCAAAGTTATTTTCATAATTGTTTTTGTGTATGTCGAATTTTTTAGTTCCATATACACATACTCTGTTTCAAACCAGCTAAGATAATAAAAAGACATGTATTACATATGAATCTCTGTTAGTACCCTATATAAAATAAGCATTTAAATCTAAATATAAATGAATGTTCAAGAGACCGAAACTCAAAGTGCAACTATTTTTGTGAAGTATTTTCTGATGACGTTTATTGTTTTTCAATTTTCCAAATAATATGGGCTAATATTATTGATATTGGTTGCAGTTTTGTTTCCGTTTCTCTCCACAGTTTATAATATAAATGGACTAAGACATGCCGAATGAAAAGATATCGAAAAGACATCGGTCGAAAGGAAGAATATTGAATAGGAAAAACATTTAGAAAAACCGAATTCTGAAAAGAAAAATGCATTCCTGAGTTCATGATCTTGATTTCTCAGTAAATATTATTTATACATAAACTATTAAAAAAGCTATAAATGATAGCTATTGATATTCGCTCATATATCTGATTTGCCGAATTAGCTCAGGATGTGATTTGAATAAGTTAATGAGAGTACCCAAAACATCATTTTTATGTATGACTCATTTTTTCATGGCTGCACATTTATCATACTAACTGTTAAACTCTATTTCTAACATCCTTCTTTTAAAGAAGAATAAATATCATATGATGAAAGTAAGGAGAAGAATTTTAATGGTCGTCAGACTCGTTCTTTATGGGATAACTTTCGTTTGATTGACTCATTTAGATACTCGTTTATAAAATTTATAAAAAAAAAATCGTAATCAATTTTGATTAAAAATTATCCTGATAACAAAATGATCTAACTCAAAACTAGATTAATTTCACCTCAACTAACATAAGATTGAAATGAGCATCTGGTAAGTAAATATGCATACTTGATTATATTTTATCTAATTAAATATTCTTTCGTAATATTTTCAACTTTATTTTGTTTTTCATCGTTATCTACTGCAATGTATTAAGAAAAATCATTCTTACGTACTCGTCGTGCTCGAGAAACTCCATACTTGCTCAGCTTTGAATAATATCTCAGAATATGACTTGACTTAAACATCCATTGAATACTTTGTTTTGGTATCACAGTTTGTTGAATATTTTTGTTTACATATCATGACAAATTGTAAAAGAATATCGTTTGCGATAATCTGTCAATGAGTGATATCTAGAAGCAATATTCTCTCGAAAGAAGTTCCCACGTAACATTGAAATTAGCTAGATAATCAATCAAGCCAATTATCTTGAATCTCTCACTAATCGTAAGGCTGATACAACGAAGTATTGAAAAAAAATTTCTCTATTCAATTTAATTATTTGTTCAAAAACAAAATCTTGGCTCAGCGAACTGATTGTAGAAAAAAAAACAAGATAAGATAGCAAATAATTTAATATATCTACTATAAACAGTCTACAGTTTCTTGCAGGCTTATAAATGGTATCAATCAATGCAGCTCTTTGGATCTAGGCGTGCTTCTGTTTCTTATCTTCATCCACACCCAAGACAATACCAATGCAAGAACTGAATCATAAAAATGACCAAAAATTATATTAGAAAATTGTTTATTTTGGACTGTTGGTTTGAACAGTGTCTCGGGAAATGATGGACAATACCTAGGCAGAGATTGACAAGGAAACATAGTATTAAATTAGTCCAAAACGAAATAAAAATAATGGTGAAAAACTATCATAAAAAGTACTAAAATTGGTTTGATTTGTATACATTATTTCTTGTAAGCATTGAATCATTTTATCTTCATTAAATTAATCATTTTAATGCCTAACAAAGCAAGTATTTTTTGTGATTATTTCTGACAGTTTTTTATCATTATTATTATTTCAGTTTTCGATTACTTTAATGTCATTTTTCTATTACAAGTTTTATCTGGGATATCAGTTAAACAAGTCTCCCAATGTATTCTTTTTAAGGAAATTTGCATACTTTTTGACTAAAAAGTATTTTTTTATTACTTCTGGAAGTCTAAAAATAGTAAGTACTACTGCAAGTATGAAAAGTACTACAATTCACTAAAAAAAAGTGAACAATAGTAAAAAAAAATTGTCTATTTTATCCATGTAAAAAAAAATAAAAGAACACTATTACGTAAGTACTTTTAATATTAGTACAGCAAAATAGATTGACTTTTTTACGATTTTTGACTGTTCACTGTGAGTTTTAGTACTTTTTTTTGCACATTTAGTAGTACTTAATAGTACTCTTTAGGTAAAAAGTATACTATTAGGTCAGTTGAAAAGGTTCACTTATAAGTGCTATTTCGTGTTTAAAAAAAAACTAATGAAAGTACATAATAGTGCTTTTTTTTTGTATGGATTATGACCTGTTAAAAGGTGGGGTTTTTACGCATTTTTTTAGTATTGATTTTGTCTGTTCGATTGATATTAATCGTAAATATATCGAAAATCTGTTTACAGAATCTTTACGTTTATCATTCTTTTGTAATCGATAAGCTTCTTGTACAAAAGTTCAATCGAATCGAACTCATGTCTTAGTTTCTTTGTAGATAATGAGTGTATGAAGAATTACTAATAGTAGTAGACTTCCAACTAAGACTACAATATTTACGGTAGAGATAGAAAAAAAAATAATGGTGTACGTTTGAATACAATCAAATCACTGTTTCGTCATGCTGGGTTATTGGGGTATACGGATACAAATAATAAGATTGTTGTATGGTACGTTGATTTTTATATTTTTCTTTAGTCCTATATATTTTTGATATTCAGAATTGTCAGATCGGAAAAGTTATAAATCAGAAGTCCTTAATAAAGAATTTGGAATTTTTCAAAATACTGTTTC